TTATGAGAGATCTAGTTTCTCTGGTACGGTCCCTACTTTTCATTGTCGCTGTCCTAATAGCTGGGCTGTGATATCTCACTGTGGCTTTAATTGGTGCTCCTTGATAGTCAATGACATTGAGCATCCTTTTAGGTGCTTATTTGCCACCCTAGATCTTCTTTGGGGAGATGTTCCTTCATGGTTTTTGCCCATTTTCTTTCTTTTTTTTTTTTTTTTGAGACGGAGTCTCGCTCTGTCCCCCAGGCTGGAGTGCAGTGGCTGGATCTCGGCTCACTGCAAGCTCCACCTTCCAGGTTTACGCCATTCTCCTGCCTCAGCCTCCCGAGTAGCTGGGACTACAGGTGCACGCCACCACACCCAGCTAAGTTTTTGTATTTTTAGTAGGGACGGGGTTTTACCATGTTGGCCAGGCTGGTCTCGAACTCCTGACCTCAGGTGATCCACCCACCTCGGCCTCCCAGAGTGCTGGGATTACAGGTGTGAGCCACCGCGCCTGGCCTGTTTTTGCCCATTTTCTAGGTGGATTTTATTTTTGCTGTTGAGTTTTCAAAGTTCTTTATATCTTCCAGACACCAGTCCTTTGTTGGATATGGAACTTTGAAATGTTTTCTCCCTGTTTGTAGCTGGTCTCTTCATCCTCTTTTTTTTTTTTTTTTTCTTTTTTGAGATGGAGTCTCACTCTGTCACCCAGGCCGGAGTGCAGTGGCGCGATCCCAGCTCACTGCAGCCTCCGCCTCCTGGGTTCAAGTGATTCTCCTGCCTCAGCCTCCTGAGTAGCTGGGATTACAGGCACGTGCCACCAGGCCTGGCTAATTTTGTATTTTTAGTAAAACGGTGTTTCACCATGTTGGCCATAGGTGGTCTCGAACTCCTGACCTCAGGTGATCCACCCACCTCGGCCTCCCAGAGTGCTGGGATTACAGGTGTGATCCATCACGCCCGGCCGTCTTCATCCTCTTAACAAGGTCTTTCTGGAGCAAGAGTTTCAGATTTTGATGCAGTATGATTTATCAGTTTTTTTTTCTTTTGTGGATCTTGCATGTGGTGTCAAGTCTAAGAATTCTTTTCCTAGCCCTAAGTCCTGAAGATTTTCTCTTACGCTTTCTTCTAAAAGTTGTATAGTTTTTTGTTTTATTTAAACTGTGAGTGAATGCATATGTCAGGTGTGAGGTTTTAGATGGAGGTTCTTTGTTTGCACGGGATCGACTGCACTTGATGAATTGCTCCAGCACCATTTTGTTGCAAAGACTGTCCTTTTCTTAGAGGGACTCCTGCTTGCCAGGCCTCTGGTTTAATAAAACATGACCAGAGTGACTCCATCTTAACATGAATAGCTAGACACTCACAAGGCACCTGTAAGGTTATATAACGAGGTTATGCTGCTCGATACTGACTACAACAATTTCCTGTTTCTCTGCCTAAAGGACACCACCACCCCCATCCAGAGCATGATGTGCCAGGACCTGGGTGGGTCTCACAGCACATGAGCTCAACGTGGGTAACAGGTAGCAGCTATGTCCATGGTTGGGAACCCTGGGGAGCTGACAACTGGCTTCCTGTGGGCTGATTTTTAATTTCTTGGTTTTTTTTTTTTTTTTTTTTGAGGAGTCTCACTCTATCGCCCAGGCTGGAGTGCAGTGGCGCGATCTTGGCTCACTGCAAGCTCCGCCTCCCGGGGTCACGCCATTCTCCTGCCTCAGCCTCCCGAGTAGCTGGGACTACAGGCACCCACCACCTCGCCCGGCTAATTTTTTTTGTATTTTTAGTAGAGACGG